TTGGACAGGTGTTGGAGGCAAGACAGTGGCTGGTTGCATTCGTTTTGGTGTTTTTTTGTTCCTGCTCAGGACCATGATTTCGAGGGGGGGTTCGCAATATCTTTGGTGAGCTTGGGAGCAAGAGACACGGCTCGAAGGGATGGCTCGGATGGGTTATCCAGAAGGATTCAGTCGTCGGCTCTCCTCTCCTGGTCACTAATATTAGTTCATTCGTTATCAGCTGGTCTATCAGGAATCTCAATCAGCAAGAGCTAAATCGCAATGCGATTAGGTATTCTTAGATTCGCTTATTCTAGGGAGTCGAATATCGAGGTCAAACAATCATCCCGAAAGCTCAAGAGAAGCCAGATGCCTGGAACTCGATTAGTTTCTTGAAGAGTCCAATGCCAGCCGCCAGTGAGCCGCTCATCGAGGTACGAAGCAAAAGGGACAAAACCCGAAGCCTCGGCTGGCAATCGGTAGATCGGATGACTTATACAGAGTGGAGTACGGGTCCGGCGCTGGCGGATGCGCGTTTGGAATGACAGCCGTGCGGTGCGGCTCCCCCTCGGACCGCACGAATGCATGCATAATTACATGCGGCACGAGACTTCAATATCAATCAGTTTGCCGCCTTTTCCCTTTGAGGTGGTGATTGATTGAGGTTCCATGCAAGGGAGAGCTTTGGAATGGAGGTAATATCGCAACGGAATCTGGCCCACTCAAAAGGATGAAGGGCTAGAGCAGCACAAACTCTGTGAACAGTGAAGACAAAACCTCGTCGCGATGCTTCATGATCAAGGACGCAATAGCTATATGATTGATTAGGTTGTAATCTGGATGTGTTTTGAAAAGCCGAGGCGTGCGGATATATCCTTCTTCGGTCAGTTTCCGTCCCATCAATGTGTCTTTGTCGTTGCAAAATCGGTTCCAGACCTCACTTCCTAGCCACGCTCGGAATTTCTCTCCAGACAAATCGGTGTCTCAGGGCGCGCTGAGGGAGGTGTACTTCGGCGGTACTCTCAAGAGGTCCGAGAAGATACACCGAAAATGTAAGTAACCTAAGCTAACAATCAGGTAATCTTCCTCGGCTCAAACAAGTAAAGCTTGCCTCCGAAGAAGTCACCATTTTCGGGGCGGCGGCGGCTCCCATTGCAACGGCAGGACCCAGCCCAGCAGTGAGTGGCAGCAACCATGACAGTGGAGAGGCGGCGGCTGCATTGCAGTGTAGGGCAAGTGGGGAGCTTGGCTGGTCGGCACCTTCCACTACTTCCATCTGCATGCGCGCATAGGAAAGAGCACATGCTTCTTGGACGGGTATCATTACAGAGATACTGCGACTGTCACCTTCCCTCATGAATGGGCCAAGGTGTTCAGAGCACCACAGATGGAAGGAGCGCAGACGGGAGAAAATGCGTTCAAGCTCCGGACCAGTTCTCCTCTTCCTCTACTTTGGAAGTTACCTTGTTCCCCCAACCAAGCTCTCTCTCTCTTGGCCTGACGTATTCGTCCTCTAATCCTTTGGTTTCCATCTGGCCGAGCACACGGAGAACAAATAGTCCCCCACCATCCTCCGGCCTCCTCAGGGAACTACCTACCGACCGGCCATCGTCCGTCTGCCCCTTGGTTTGTGGGGTCGTGTCCAGCACGGATCTGGGACGAGCACGGGACTTGGAGAAACGACGTGGGGCTCTTTTCAGGTCCTGATTCTCGGTAAGCCACCGCTTCCAGGGAAGCTGGAGGCGAAAACAAAGATTACTGCACGCGATGAGAAGAAGAGTTCAGGCCGAGGCTCAGCTGTTGATTGGTTACACTGCTTGGCTTGTGGTTGGAGTCGGCCCCTCCATTGACCAACGTCATCATGAGCTCCCCTCCATGTGCGAAGTACCCCAAATGCATTCATGATTGATGTCTGCAGTCAAGCAGCAACAGAGCATGGCATCCAATTGACATAGAGAGCAGATGCAATGCGACACAGTCTACACCACTACACACTTCTCCGGCTGACAGCGGCAAATGAAATGCGGAATGCGGAACAAGTACGAAGTAGAAGTCGAGAAAGCCGAAAAGTGGATGTCGATGATGTTTCCCCAGGCCCGGCGGCCGTGACTCGAAATGATTGCTCGGTCTTAGTCCGAGACTCATGAGTGCGCCTCCCAGTATCTCTCCTCGGTCCTCCGACCAAGTCTTGAGATCGAACAAGTATATATTAGTCCTCGACCTTATCCAACTTTGTTCGCTTTTTCCCAATTCCTTGTTCTTCATCTTCAACGTGCATCTACCTGTTAGAAGCTTACCCCGGATTTTGATACCTCGAGATACCCAACCACGACAACGCCAACTAAGAAGATATTCTTCGACACGTGAAAGTCTCACTCAGTTATAGGCTTTACACCCCGCCTCTCTCCCTCTCACTCCCTCCCTTCTTCATTCACAGCTCAAATCACAATGGCTTCTACCGATTCCATCCTCCAAGGCGTCTCTGTTCTCGGGAAAGTCGATGATGTTCACCGAAAGATCCTAACGCCCGAGGCTCTCGCCTTCCTCGCCCTCCTCCACCGCTCGTTCAATGCCACCCGCAAGACTCTACTCGAGCGCCGCAAGGTGCGCCAGGCCGAGCTGGACCGCGGCATCCTCCCCGACTTCCTCCCCGAGACCAAGCACATCCGCGACAATGCTACCTGGAGGGGTGCGCCGCCGGCGCCTGGTCTGGTGGATCGCCGCGTTGAGATTACCGGACCTACTGACCGAAAGATGGTTGTGAATGCCCTGAATGCCAATGTGTGGACTTATATGGCCGATTTTGAGGGTGAGTTTAATTTTTTTTTTTTTTGTCTTGCCCTTTTGCGCTCGGCCGCCGGCGCGTGAGAAAGCTGGATTACACGCCGAGATTGGGTCAATGGAGCGCCGATATCTCATGGAAATTCATTGTCGCCTCGAACGTTTATCATGGCATTAATAAAATTGACTAACTTATTCGTCAGACTCCAGCGCCCCCACTTGGGAGAACATGATCAACGGCCAGGTCAACCTCTACGATGCCAACCGCCGCCAGATCGATTTCAAGCAGGGCCCCAAGGAGTACAAGCTCCGCACCGACAAGACTCTTCCCACTCTCATCGTTCGTCCTCGTGGCTGGCACTTGGAGGAGAAGCACCTTACCGTTGACGGCGAGCCCATCTCTGGTTCCCTCTTCGACTTTGGTCTCTATTTCTTCCACAATGCCTTCGAGACCCAGCGCCGCGGCTTCGGCCCTTACTTCTACCTCCCCAAGATGGAGAGCCATCTCGAGGCTCGCCTCTGGAACGACGCCTTCAACCTCGCCCAAGACTACATCGGTATGCCCCGCGGTACTATCCGAGGTACCGTCCTGATTGAGACCATCCTCGCTGCCTTTGAGATGGACGAGATCATCTATGAACTCCGTGACCACAGCTCCGGTCTCAACTGCGGTCGCTGGGACTACATCTTCAGTGTCATCAAGAAGTTCCGCAACAACGCCAACTTTGTTCTTCCCGACCGTTCTGCCGTTACCATGACTGTACCCTTCATGGATGCCTATGTCAAGCTGCTCATCCAGACCTGCCACAAGCGAGGTGTCCACGCCATGGGTGGTATGGCTGCCCAGATCCCCATCAAGAACGATGCCAAGGCCAACGACATTGCCATGGAGGGCGTCCGCGCCGATAAGCTGCGTGAGGTCCGCGCCGGCCACGACGGCACTTGGGTTGCCCACCCTGCTCTTGCCAGCATCGCCACCGAGATCTTCAATAAGCACATGCCCACTCCCAACCAGCACTTTGTGCGAAGGGAGGACGTGGTCATTGGCCAGAACGACCTTCTCAACATGAACGTGCCTGGTACCATCACTGAGGCGGGCATCCGAAAGAACCTCAACATCGGTCTTGGTTACATGGAGGCCTGGATCCGAGGTGTTGGCTGTGTGCCCATCAACTTCCTCATGGAGGATGCTGCTACCGCCGAGGTGTCCCGAAGCCAGCTGTGGCAGTGGGCCAAGCACGGCGTCACCACGGCCGAGGGCAAGCGCGTCGACAAGGCTTACGCTCTTAAGCTCCTCAAGGAGTCTGCCGACCAGTTGGCTGCTCAAGCCCCCAAGGGCAACAAGTTCCACCTGGCTGCCCAATACTTTGCCGGCCAGGTCACTGGCGAGGACTATGCCGATTTCCTGACTACGTAAGTATCCTACTTAATGATCTGGTTGAGTATGGACTTTGCTAACATTCGACATTAGTCTTCTGTACAATGAGATCACTGCTGCCGGTCCTCCGGCTCCTGCGTCCAAGCTGTAAGCTGGAGATGGAAGAAAATTAAAGGAAAATCTGGACGGCAACAAAGATTGCACATTTCTAATGAATGTATGTATGTTTGGATGAGAGGGATCTTTTCTATGTTTCATGGCCAAGGTGTTCATGGCTTTTGTGTCCCAAATATCACCGCAGTTGAATATCGCAAAATGGAGTTTTCAAATTGTAAGAATGAATTCATTGCCCTACTTGAGTGCCTTAGCATGAGGATGTGATTAGCCGGTGCGAGCCAGCAGTCTAAAGGTCCAAGAGAATTCGCAGCAACAAGCGATCAACAATGTGCAAAGGGGGGTGAGAGAGATCTTGTTTTCTGCAGTGTGGTATTGGTAGGCGGCCATTTGATTTCAGCATTATGATACTTATTCCGGATCTTGCTCGTCAGTGAACCGAGTATCTACTTGCGTGGCCCATCATGGATCATTCATTCATTCATCCATCGCAATGTGTAACAGAAGCTTAGAAAAGGAGGGTAGAGGGAGGTATGGCTCGGGTGGGTACGCCTACGAGGACAGTAGAAGTCCTCGGGAGCCAGGTCGGACGAGGGGATAGAGACTGAACTATACCGTCACCAACCAATTCATCAATGTATCTGTGTTTTGAGTCTAGGAAGTGATTTTTCAAAGAAGAAAAAAAAGAGGTGACAGATAGATAGGAAGGAGACCCCCAAAAAGCAGGCACAGATAAAAAATGAAACAATGCCCCGTACTGGAATCGAACCAGTGATCTTCTCATTGCAGAATCGCACTTTACTAGTGAGACGCTATACCACTTAGCCAACGGGGCTTAATAATGCTTAACGATGGAAACAAATTTAGGTACTATATGTCTTTGATCTTAGAGGAATGTGTCAATATATGAAGCCCATACCTCCTGGTTCTCTGACTCTGATCAACCCCGGCAAGTATTTACTTCAAAGGAACGGAGACAATTGTAATATGAATGGTGCGCTTCTACTTCAGTCTTCTTCTTTCTATCAATGAATCTGAATAGGATCAACCATAGAGCCCATTGATTCACTGTAAAAGAGCCCATCAAGTGTATATAACCTCATTGCATGCAGATACCCCCCAGACTCACTCAGGCCTAGAGGCGGAGATGTATTAGGAATGCTACCTGTGCAATTCATAGCTTCACGAGTGCCTCCGACATGCTGTATGCCGAGCTCAGGTCGGCTCTGTGCTGCAGCTTGTCCTTTGGAGATGCGAAAGCCCGACTTCAACGTGGCCTCCACACACACGGACGAGATGGTACAGACAAAGAGGGTAAACAAAGAGCAACTCATTCCTTGGAATAAAAGAAAAGCAAACAGGACCTCTTCTCACTTCATTCATCACTACCACTCCCCAATCAGCAAATAACCATCATGGTTCGAAACCTGCCGATCGCTAGACAAGACAGCGCCCATCAACGAGCCTCTCGCCAGGTGAAGAAGCAAAAGCTTAGCCACCCGGACTTCCCACCCCCAAGCTACTTTGACAATCTGCCGGAGACGTACCTGACGAGGTTCGTATTGTGGGAATTCGATCGAAGAAACGCCGAAGCCAGACGCCCTTCAAACCAGACACCACAACGCACACGTCCTAACACCCGGCTTGCTGTCGCCCAGTGGAAGGACAGACATCCATCGGCGGAGCGCTTGATCGAACAGTGTAGTTCAGAGACGCTGGAACAGATCAGGCGCTATGCAATGCACGGCGGCCCAAATCTAACCGACTTGCGAGGAGTATGTAACCCATCTGGTGTTCTAACTGTGTTGTCCCGTCTCAGCTAACCCTCGTAGTTCTGGGCGCCAGACGTCCGCCTGGATTACATGATGAGCCTCAAATCGAGCCTCGGTCGCCGGAAACGGGCTTCGGATTCTCACGATAGCTCGTACACGGAACCCTCAAGGCCCACCAAGACTACCGGTCCGTACGATCGCGCATTCAAGCAACACATTATCGACCACGGCATCTTCACCATTCACCATGGCTATCTTGGCGTCAGGGCCTCGCCCAAGCCAGAAAACTACAAGGAGATATTGGAAGTCCTTGCCAAACCTCGGGTCTCGCTGGACCAGTTCTCCGAGGAAGACTACGACAAGTTCGCTTACACTGTCGCAAATGCATCCAACGAAAGGGAGGTTATAACCTCTATAATGCCATGCCTTGAGGGGGAAGCCAGGGACGGCAAATACATTGCGGGAGGAGTATCGTTCAGGAACCTAGACCACTTGACCGACGGGTCCCTGGTCGCTGCGAATCCTGATCAGTACCACGGGGCACGGCCGGAACAGCTTCATCGGACAATCCGCGAGGAGCTGGACAACTACATCATTCCCTCGACTCAGAAGGACCTGCCGGTTGCCCCAAACTTCTTTCTTGAGGCAAAGGGGCCCCAGGGCACACAGGGAGTTGCCATCTTACAGGCATGCTATAATGGAGCATTGGGGGCAAGGGGGATCCATAACCTCCGGGCGTATAGATCGATTGCTCCGACGACGTATGACAACAAGGCCTACACAATCACTGCGACATACGTGGGAGGGATGCTCACAATCTATACCACCCACCCCGTCCGGGCGGGCGTGCGAACCCAGCTTGTCATGACGCAGCTCTGCGCATTTGCGCTGACGGGCGGCCTCAAGGCGTTTCGAGATGCCGCCGCAGCGTACCGGAATGCCATCGACTGGGCCGCGCAGCAGAGGGATCTGGTCATCGAACAAGCCAACGAGAGAGCTGCGGAGCGTGCGTCTACGCCAAGCGATGCCTCGGGGCCCGGCCTTGGCCAACACGAGAACATGATCAAGAGCCTTGATTCGGGCGCGCCGGCGTCACCTCACGGGTCCAATGCCAACGACAAGGCCGAGCATTCGCTCGATGCGCAGCTCCCGCGCAGAAAACGTCGCTCCACGAAGGCCAGTCGAAGCCGGGGCGAGTCTGTCCTCGCCACAATCCCCGAGGTGGAAGAGGGCAAAGCAAAGATGGACTGAGTGCGAGGCCGGCGACCCATGCGTCTCTGCTTTACCTCGACCTTCTTCTCGTCGACAACGCCCCCTTGCTTCTGCTGCTAGCCTGCGTCTTGCTTCCCATTCTGCAATCTTTTCTCGTCTGTCTTGTTAGGTCCCGTGTTAGTTTACCGTCAATAGAAGCAGTCGTCTGCTTTCTCGTGCGCCTTCTCGGCCGGGTACTTGTGTCGTCCTCGTAGGCCACTCGTTGGATTTCACTGTTGCAGTTTATTAAGGATGGCGTTACCTCCCACCATGTCCAATTCTCAATACTTGGAGCACCGCTATAGACCACGTTGCATTCCGGGCTCCGTGTGCTGTCAAAGTAGGCAACCGGACATTGCAGAACAAGACTCGCAGCGACGATTCACTTCAATGGTGTGGAACGACTGTATTGAGAGACCCGAGTTCACATTTCGATAGGAAAGCAATATATTGGACACCTGAGGCGCCTGCGCATCTCGTAGTGGAACGTATTCATTGTTCGCTAGGCTGCTCAAAGAAAATATATCAAAGACTCAGCCGTTGACTGCAATTTTCAACAAAGCGCTCGCATAGAGCGCAGACTGCCGTTCCTAGTAATACCCATCTATCGCCATTGGTCCATATCTATTCCATCGGCTTCCTTATCCCGGCGCAGCGTCCGCTCCAGTTTCGAAAATAGGGCGCTGATGGGCACGTCGACGCTCAACCACCCAAAAACCTTGCGACCGTGAGCGGCCAAATCGAGCCCCCTGGACTTTATTTGAAAATCGCAAGGGTTCTGGCAGCTCAGATCACAATTCTCAGCTCCAGGTGGACGGCAGCGCGTGCCCAGCAATTCACGCACCGGTTTGGAGCCTTGTTGGTTCGGCGTTGGGCGCGGCTCACGGCCAACAGCAGCAGCGAGCGCCACACACACACACACACACAAAACAGCCCAGAGCTGACGATAGTGAACAAGCTGAGAGAACAATGCTGTGCTACCGTGGAAACTACTGCCTGCTCTGTTCAGTCTTTGGGAGGCACTTAGGCACATAGCCGAAAAAGAAACACTCGAGTCCCGTGCCCTTTGTTGCACTGCTAGACTTACACCCGTTTGATTGATGCCTTTGTGTCTCCCCAGATGCTCTGTCACCTTGGCAAACGTTTCACAGAGAATGCCCGCTACCCGCCGTCAGCGAGGTCAGCTCCGTCGTACCAAGGAGAGGAACCGCCAAAAATAAGGACGCTGGTTGGGAGGGGGCCTCTCGAAGCAGGGAACATCCCCCCTTTTCTTCATGGCCGCCTGCTGGAATCCCGCTGGTTCGGTGACATCGACAACGGGGCAGTGCATATATGGCCAGAGCAGATGATGTCGGCGACGGGGATACACATGGTGGTTGGGGGAAGAGAGACGGGATGGGAATCGAGACAACGTCGCCGACATGTGGTCCAGTCAGTGCCAGCGGAAACGTCTAATAATACCAGGCCTGGCTGGACTCGTATTCCGAGCAGCAGATGCAATGGTCGAATGGGAGTCGTCGACAGCGTACCGAGAAAGCTCGCAGTGAGACCTGCATGAGGGCTGGTTCGTCAAGACTTGCCATTTGCCAGCCATCCTCGTCGTGCGTCTTGTCTTCCTCCGCCTCCATGACGCCCCCCTCTTTTTTTTCTTTATTCTTTTCAGCCGCAAAGCTCAGCTGAAGAAAAGGCTGCCTCGTGGCAGCCCGCGCGAGGGCCAACACTTTTGAGCGCCAGCCAAGACAGATGAATGGGCAGTTTGAAGGAAAGGAAGACACCTCAACGGCTCGTTGTTGGTATTCACCGGTTGGAGAGGAGGGAAACAAGGCGGCCATCTGCAATGCTGCAAGCCCGCCCAACGTGTGCCTGAGCAGGACGTTTCGTGGTCCAATCGGGGAGCGTGGGAGAGATGGATGGACGTCCTTCCTTCGTGCTGCCTGAGACGCAAAAAAAGCCACGGAAGCGAATGAACCAACACCCATCAGCCATGCAGGTGAAATGGCGTCTCAACCATGCCGAGTCGTCGGGAACTCGACCCGGCACTTTGGGTGTATATGATAGCTACCCATCCCATGGGCGTGCTGATGGCATGATCCCATCTGCTACCCGAAGATCTGCTCCGATGTCGTCGTCGAGCATCGTATCATGTCGGCGCCGGAAACGAACAGGTTGCCTTGCCTGGGATAATCACCTCTCTCTTCCTTGCGCGCACGCCTCTCCCGCTCGCCACAATGCCATCTCTCAGAGCCGGCTGCTCTCCCCCGCATGGAACACAATCCGTCTGGCCTGATGCCGTCAACTCTAGAACGCCCTGGCCCAGACGCTAAGTGACACGCCGTTCCAGACCAGCCAGCCAGCCAGCCCCCTTTATGTCCAGCAACAGAGAGTATATTCATCTTTTTTGATCCCCGACCCGGGGACCCATTTTCGCACTCGTTACAACTTAGTTGGCCGTCGTTTGCCTCTCTTGACCCCAAGTCAAAAACACTGCTCCGTCTCGCCATCGCCTCCGCCGGCGTCTAAAGCCTTTGGAATGTCCATTCATTCTCAACCACTTCTTCACGCACCCCCCCCTACGAGACCTACTACGGGGTAGGTAAGCAAGGAAGGTACTCGTCAATATCAAGACATGACATCTCTCTCTCTCCCCCAATCCCCACAACTGCCCCCCATCCCATCCCATCCCCCATCTCGGCATCGTCCCTTTAAACCCCTCCACTTAATACATGGTGCAAAACCACACACCCCCCCGTCTCTAGCCCCCCAGCCCAAAATCAATCAAATCTCTTCTCCCAACTGCCGTGCCCGCTTTCGT